TTTGTATGATTGGATGTATTTCTTGCACACAACAGTGATTGATTGCAAAGAATTGCGTAAAACTGATATTCTCGATTGATTACATGTGCAAATCAAAAGGTAGCAGTTGGTGACATTTTGCTTGTTTTGCAGCCGTTGAGGTGCAGCCATCAATTGTTTTTATTGCCATAGATGAGTAGCATGGTAAGACAGCTTCTAAGAGTAATTATGTGCATATGGTGTATTTTTCTTGTGCACTCAAGCTTTCAGCTTTATGCTACAGACTTTGGAGTTGTAACCTATCACTCTTTTGAATGATATCATTTCCCTCTCCTTTGTCCTTATCTCCATAAAAGTTCAAGTACATGTTGAAGCTGTAGTTTTGTTCTCTTGTCAACCAAGCTTCAAGCATAGCTCCAGAAGTGCATTTAGTTTTATAGATTATAGTTACATCCACAGCAGAATTGTATCGATCTTCTGGAATTTAGGGGAAATATGAGCACTGTTTTGATGAAAAAATATATTTTCTTGTCTTATATTTTACTATTGGAGGAGCTCTACCGAATTACAAAATCTAAAGAAAAGTTAAATTTGTTGAACCTTCTATATCTAGATTAATCAGTTGAAAAAAGAAAATAGCAGAGCAACTTGCACTGCAGTCAGAATGACTGGTGTTCACCAATAAATGTTGGCAAGTAAGTGCTTAAGGTTGCCCATGCTGTTGTTGGTACTTGAATTGAGGGGAATTGTGGAATTCAAGGAATGTCATTAGTACCACTCCTTCCATCCTCCCCCTTCTTTTGCTCTATGCTCAGTTACTTTTAGATAGGTGTGCCTTATTAATCTGAAGTTGTACATCTAACTGTGCTTGATGCAAACTAGGTAAGTATTTTCTCCAATGATCATTTGACCAAGTTTCTTTGTGTCTTTGACATGCAGAAGCAACGGGAACCACCCAAGTTCCTTTGCAAATTGGAAATGGAGGTGGATAAGATTAGCAACTTACCAGGACATATCATAGACAAGATTTTGTCCCATATGTCACTGAGGGATGCTGTAAGAACTAGTGTCTTGTCAAGCAAGTGGAGATACAAATGGGATACACTTCCACACCTCGTATTTGATAACCAATCTGTCTTGGTTTCATCACAAGATCAGACCCTAATTAAGAATAAGCTTGTTAACATTGTTGACCATGTCCTTTTACTCCATTCTGGGCCGATACAAAAATTTAAGCTCTCTCACCGTGATGTTCAAGGTGTCAGCGATATTGATAGATGGATCCTGTTTTTATCAAGAGGCGCCTTAAAGGAATTTGTTCTTGAGATATGGAAAGGCCATAGATACAAGCTCCCATCATCTATATACTTTTGCCAAAACTTGATTCACTTGGAGCTCTTTAATTGTCTTTTAAGACCCCCAGCTACGTTTGATGGGTTTAAAAATTTAAAGAGCATAGATCTTCAGCACATTACAATGGACCAAGATGCATTTGAGCATCTAATATCTAGTTGCCCTTTGCTTGAGAGACTTACACTCATGAATTTTGATGGTTTCACGAATCTTAATATTCATGCGCCGAATCTTCTTTTCTTTGACATTGGAGGTGTATTTGAAAACGTGAGCTTCCAGGATACTTTCCAGCTAGCTGTAGTGTCCATTGGATTGTATACAAACACAGGATTTGATCGTAATCATACTTTTGGCAGTGCTGGAAATTTGATTAAGTTTTTTGCTCACCTGCCTCGAATACAAAGGCTTGAGGTGCAGAGTTATTTCTTGAAGGTATGCGGTTTTTGCTATCACTACAAGATAGATGTAAGATCTTATACAATAGTTAATGTTCAAAGAATTGCTTTGAGCAGATTTAGTTGTTATTTGATAGTTTAGTCAATTAAGTGAATTGGTTAACAGTTGCATCTTAACATCCTCTACTTACTTCTTTACCTGTTCATGGTCTTACTGAGTGCATAGAAGAAAGAAGTTGTACAACTGATTGAATAATTTTGGAAATACCTAATCCTTGATTCATGTCTGAATCTGATTGCCTTCCATTATCTTCTACTTGTCTTTAGTATTTGACAGCTGGTAAAGTTCCTGGAAGACTGCCTACACCTTGTATTGAGCTCAGCTTTCTTTCCCTAAGGATAAATTTCAATGACGTAGAGGAGAGTTTGGCTGCTCTTTGCCTTCTTAGAAGTTCACCTAATCTACAGGAGCTTGAGATGTTGGTGAGTACATCCTGCTTCATGAGTTTGGTACTTCAAAATTTGTCATGTAATACATTGTTCTGTCAAATTTTAATGTTATCTTGCTACCTCATGATTCTTACCACTTGCCTAGTGCTTTTTTTAAAGAACTCATTTGGACATTGCTACTTGGGAATTTACTTTCTATTGATTTGATGAACTTTAACCAGGCTCGGCCTGAGGAGCAGAGTGCCATGAGAATTTCTGCAAATATTGTGGAAGAAGATTATGAAAATTGTCCATTTAATCAACTGCGATTTGTTAAAATTGCTGGCATCTCTGGTCTCAGACAAGAACTGAATTTTATCAAATTTCTGCTTGCAAATTCACCTGTTCTCGAGAAAATGACTGTTAAGCCGGGTTCAACCGATGGAGGATGGGAGTTGCTTAAAGAACTGATGAAGGAGTTGCTCCGATTCCGGAGAGCTTCAGTACAAGCTCAAATTATTTACCTGGACCCTTAATGTATTCTTAGCCATTCACTGATGGATTTATGCCTTTTGAAGAATAGTCACTTGCTGACATTATATCCGTCAGTTAACTTTCGATTATCAGTATTTGAACCCTTACAAGATTAGTGTTATCATTGGACTACCGTTGTTAAGTAATTTGAGCCCATTCCAGCAAATCCAATTTATGATTTTCCATCGATCAGATGTGATTATCAAACTAGCATACGATCTGTGACCTTTTGTGAACTTTCCATCCTTGACGTTGCTTTCTGTGACTGGTACGGCAAGCCTGCTTCTTGGTTCAGATGAGGTGCATATGGTATCTTCTTGCCATGCACCAACACTTTCTCAGCTTCATGCTAGGTGATTTGCAATGGTGATTACTATGTCATTAACAGTTGTTTCAAGGACTTCCTCATGATTTTATCCTTTATACAATGCCATGCCTTTGTTATGGATGATGTGAATGGCAAGGTTTTAGCCCTGTCGGGAGATAAATCTCTTTTGGACCAGCTTAGAATGCGGTCACAGTGGATTTAAGGATTTTCATTAATCATGAGGAATCTATTGGATATCTAACATTGTTATTGCCGTGAAAGATTTTTTTTTTTTTTTTTTTTTGGTTTGAGAATCTCAAGCATGGATCTAAAGGACCCAAAAGTAGAGAAAATAGAACCCTGTCAAATGGAATTGATGCATCTTTGTAGATTTTTTTCTTTAAAAAAAAAAAAATCAGGAGTAATACCCACCTTTTCCTTGTTTTTAACAGCAAAAAGACTCCAGGGAAGTTTGTTGGGTCGGGGTTGGGGTGGTGGTGGAATGGGGAATACCATGTGGTGTGGTGGAAAAGGAATGGCTGGTCGGGTTTCAACTTTCCTTGTCAGCTCCAATTTCTACTGGAATTTGAAAAAGTTACCAAATGGAAGTACCCCCCCCCCCCCTTCAATTTTAACAGAAACTGAAAAGAAGAGGAGGCAATCAATGTTTTGAAACCAAAACCGTTAATTAAACCAGCAAGGTGTTTGGATCGCAGTTCAATCGATCTTAGTTCAACTTCGATTCAATGAATTTTTTTTTAAAAATAAATTATATAAATACATATGCACAGGATAAGATATTCAATTGACTAATTTAGGATTTTATCTGATAAAAAGTTTGATATTTTTAAAGAACTTGGACTATCACAAATTTTTTTAAAAAAATTATAAGTTCAAATAAATAAATTTCATCTCAATTGTATTTACTAAAATATAATCTTAAATCCTACCCAAGAATATTATAATATTCTGAAATTAAACAAAATTCATGTCTTTAGGAATTAGACATTGTGAATTTAAACCATGTATTTGGGGCTTAAAGATTGCAACTTTGTTTTTTTTTTTTTTAAATGGAGCTTGGATGAAATCATGAAACTAGAAAGTAGAGATTCAAACTTAATAAGAGACAAAAAATGAGAAGAAAGTGAATGGATGTGGCACTTAATGACTAACCTTTGGAGAATAAGAACCTATTCATTTTTTTTTTCAGTTTAATAGATAAAAATAAAAAATTGCCAGTTCAGCTGTTCATTCAGATTCACAGATTCTCATTAGTTCTCAAGTTTAATCAACCCAAAGTATGTACCAGACCGAAATCATGATTGGTTTGCGGTTCGATCGATCAAACAGGTCACTTTAATTTGAGTTTCAAAACACAGAAGGCAATTAATGATGAGCTAAAAATGTCATGTGGCATTCATCAATCTCTCTCTCTCACCCCTTTTTTTTTTTTAATAAAAATATTTGGATGAATTCAGCTCCGATTACTATCACGAATTAGGACATACCTCTGATAGGTAGTTTAAATGGATTCTCACTCCTTACCTATTGTCTACCAACACAGTCTTATTTCTTACACATTGTCTATCAATACAAACACAGTCTTACTTTTTACACATCATTCGTCAGTGCAATTTGACATTGATAACGGAATTTGAATACACAATTTTTTACGAGGAAGTGATCATTCTTGCCAATCGAGCCAACCTGTGCTGGCATCAATCTCCATTTCTCTGGACAAGGAAGAGCCAGGGGTAAGGAAAACGATGAATTGATGAGAGCAAATACGCCAGACATAGCTAGGTTGTGAAAAGGATTGAATCGACGAGCCAGCTGCCATTCAAAAACTCTCATCGACCAAGTATGCAATGGAGGACAACACAAAATTATAAGAATACCTCAAACTTCAAATATCTCCATTTGCAATGTTGCTTGCACATATAAAGCTAAGCTACAAACTCTTACAAATTTCTCTTAACGAAGGGGCCAGTTAGGTTCTTGTGTTGAATCAACCCACAGCCATAGCCAACTTGCTTCCATGACAGCTGATAGATAATCCTTGCTGAAATCATAAGAAAGCAATAATAACGTCAGTGGAAATCCAACTCTGCCTGCTTGAGTCATGGGGAACTGGGGGGAGCTACTTCTTGATGGTCACCCTGGTGAAGGAGAACTCCAGAAAAATGTGGGCATCGGTAAAAGATTCGGTATAGAGTCTAAGAAGTTATGGATGATAGCTGGTCCCATTACTCTGGGAGCCATTTGTCAGTACTCATTGAACGCTATCACATTAACTTTTGTTGGTTTTGTTGGGGAGATTGAACTCGCCGCTGTCTCCATCGGTAACTCTGTCATTTCTGGCCTTGCATTTAGACTCATGGTATGTAACAAAATCTAATTAAGTTCCATTGATGCACTTCTCATTGGTTACACACTTGAACTTCTTTCTCTGTTACTTCTGCATGCAATTGTCACTACTCCAGTTGACCTTTGCAGTTGGGAATAGGGAGTGCCCTGGAGACTTTATGCGGACAAGCATTTGGCGCAGGACAAATAAGGATACTTGGGATATACATGCAGAGATCATGGATAATCGTTGTTACCACTGCCACCATTTTGCTTCCCATTTTCATATTTGCTCCTCCTGTTCTTGAGTTTTTTGGAGAGACCACTGTCATCTCTAGGGCTGCTGGTCAGCAATATTAATATAGATCATAGGACTTCCCATTCTCTTAACTGTACTTGGTTAATTCTCAGGCGAGGAAAATAAAGCCAGTATACTTTGACTTCAGATAATCAAATGTCGCGGAACAGAGGCTAACATGATTGGCAACTGATTGACTGCATGAATGTGGTCAAAATTTCGCAAATATTTTGCATACAACAATTAAAGATAAATACACTGTTAATGTTTTTCCATCTTTTGGCTTTGTAGTGCTAGAACTATCTTAAATGCTCTTCAGACTTGCATTCTTTGAAAACTGACCTTTGGCTTGTGCAGCTTTGCTGTTGAATATTGAAGCCTATTAACAGTTTCCCCTGAATTGTTGATCATCTCTTAATTCTGATAATTTCCTATTGGTATGATAGTCTCTATAAATACAGACTATTGGGTCTAGGCACTCTTTCGGGCAGATTATTCTGGACATCCAGAGTTTTGGCCTGACGAATTGATGGATAGATGAAAACTATACATCTTGCAAAAGGACCATCTCAAGTTGCATCCGACGAACAGCAGAGTGGACTTCATGCAACAAAGAGACTTTCTAGAAAGATTTTGCTTAACATTCTTGCGGGAGTTGCAATTGGAGCTGGATGGCAATCTCTTATAGCATGTGTCAACGTGGCCTGGGCTGCTATTACATTTGCATCCTGTTGGTATTCACATTTCACTTTGGAGATATGGCATATATGTGGCTTTTATCTGTCTTCTCTGGACGCACTTTGATATTTGCAATCAACTCCAAATTGATTAACTTTGGGTTGTCTGCAGACTGTAATACTAATAATCATTGCTTCAATCAGAAACTGGGATAAAGAAGTGAGCATTCTACCCTTTGCCACTCTCAAATTTCTTTCGGCATCTCCACTCATGAAGGCTTGTTGCAAAAAGTGGTACCATTAGCATTTTAGCATGTGTTGGGATCCTGAGTAGAGTTTCAAAATTTGCAGTTCAGCATTTTGTCCCTGAATATTTTTTGCAAAGAAAAATTTCACTTTCATGGAATGGAAGTGAGGAAGAAGTAGTAAAGAAAGCGTAGAGTACTAAAGCACGAGGACTCATTTTGTATGACAAATGACCACTACATAATCGTTTGCATCAATAATCCAAAGATGCCTAGCATAATTGTAATTTATTGCCCAAAAGGCTCCAAAAAAAGCCAATAATTGTAATTATTAACATACAAATTGAGTGTCCAAATTTAGAAGACATAAAGAGATCCGAACTTAAATGCATTCCCCAATTTTCAAAATTATAAAGGTAATTCCAAGTCAAATACTGGATCAATTTCCTCATCAAATGTCAGTGAACTCGAATCTTATATTTTCTCATGCTTTTATTTACGAATGAAAAAAAAAAGAAGCAAAATAGAAATATTTAGCAAATATGGGTTCCTTAGAGAGGGGGGGGGGGGGGGGGAAGAGTAGAGGGCACTTCAGTCAATTCAAGTACATTATCGCCTAAGACTATACTACAAGTGGAGTGCCCTCTCCTACACGAACAACGAAGAGCAAAAAGCCATGGCGACTTCCTTATCTTCTCTGGCCTCATCCTTGGCTTTTCTCTCCTTCTCTTCCCAAATTTCCCAAAAACCCCATGCCTCCGCTCTCTCCTTCACTTCTGCTAAGTCCCTTTCCTTATCTAAGACTTCTACTCCCGTCATTGCCGCCTCCGCTGCTGCTGTCCCGTCCCTTGTTGATTTGGAGACTGCCGACCTCAAGCAGCTAGTCAAATCCAGACTTCCCGGAGGTTTTGCAGCCCAGACCATCATCGGCACCGGCCGCCGGAAGAGTGCCATTGCCCGGGTTGTCCTCCAAGAGGGCTCTGGCAAAATCATCATCAACTACCGTGACGCTAAGGTACTTGAATTCTCCTACTTTTGGGCTGTTTTAACTTTGTAGTATTAGTGTGGAAATTGTTACAAAAAGAATGTTCCACAAGGGTGCAAACTCGGTGATCATTGCTGTAGCTAGAATTTATATGATTTCTGGAGTTGGAATTTGTTTTTCTTTTTTTTTCCCCCTCTTTCAAGATGGGATTTTTATTCTTCATATTTTTTGCAGTGATGGTGTTGTTTTAGCAACTTCGTTAGTTGGCCTGTATTAATTCTAGCTATCCTTAATTATGTCTAGTTAATTGTGTACTGAATATGGAAGAAATTTGAATGCTCATACCGTAAAGGTGTAAACTTGCTGATTACTTTTTGTGCTTGAAGTCTAGAACCGAGTTAAGCTTACTTTATCCTTCATCTTAAGTTTCATTTTTGTTCTTGAGATGGGATTTTGCTTCTTTACACAGTGTGCAACACTAATGTTGGACCTGCAGCTGCTTTATATGTTAAATGCTCTGATTGTTGTAGAAATTTCATGGCATTTAGGAATATCTTCAAGGAAATCCACTGTGGCTTCAGTACGTGAAAACCCCTTTGGCCACTTTAGGATATGAGAGCAGTTATGATGTGTTTGTCAAAGCACAAGGTGGTGGTTTATCAGGGCAGGCTCAGGCAATATCTCTTGGCATTGCTCGTGCTCTACTGAAAGTCAGTGAGAGTCATAGAACACCTCTGAGGCAAGAAGGATTGCTGACAAGGGATGCGAGAGTGGTTGAAAGGAAGAAAGTTGGTCTCAAGAAGGCCCGAAAAGCCCCACAATACTCCAAGCGTTGAGGTTAGACTTTGTATACAAGGTTTTGCGGAAAGCTCTACCTAATTTCTCGTCTTGTGTACATGTGCACTTGGAAAACACATGCAAGCTTCTTATTATTAGCTGTTCAGTGAAGGAAAAGGATTAAAGTAATTTCTAAGTGACTGCTAAGACTTTTAGTGTGGGCAAAGCAAGTAGCATGTCTCCTTGTAATATTGAAGGGTATTGAACTGACATTTTTTTTGTCGACAGTATATGCTACACACAAAGTCCTTGCATTTAAAAAGATTACTTGACACTAAGACCGCTACGTTGGACACCTTGCAGGGTGAGAATGAATCATTAAGGGCATTGTGTTATGCACTGTGAAATGAAGGGCTAGGGCGCCATTATGTTGGGAATTACTGAATTTCTTAAATACATCAAGCTCAGTTCCTCCGTTATGATTGATAAGTTCTTTGACCTGTACTGCAATTTGTTGGCCTTCAAGCAATAATAAGGCTGGCATTCTGTTATTGGTAGTCCTAGATGAAAAGCAAAAGTGTGTCATATTATCTTCTGGATCATGGAAAAAATATTGGATGCCTCCTCTCTGATGCATGTTATTCCTAGAGCACTACAATGGGTATTGTAATTTGTAACCCTTCGGATTTCCACCATTCATATTTACCTCAATGTGGAAACATTTATCCATGATTAGTGCAAGGCATATGACATATATCGATCCCTTTGCCTAGTGGAGTATCATAAATCGTGAAAACATATCAATAGATATGTTTAAGTCTACCAGACATATGAGATATTTTTGCACTTTTTAATTTCGGAGAGAATGAAATGTAATATAAAAGTTTGTGGGATCACTTCTACACGGTGAATATCAAAGGTTTCTACTAGAACATCTAATGAATACTTCAACATGTTAAGCTTCTAGAAAATTAAAACAATTATTTGATGTGTCTTGTGCTGGTTTGGTCATCAGTAAGTTTTGCTGGTACAAAGTATTGCTCTTATCGATTGATGATTTCATTGAACATGCTGAGAACCTTTGTGCCATAAACGAGTGCAATGTGATCATTTTCTTTATTCATTACCAAAGTTCTAGCTCGCAGTAACCTAAAATAAACCTGGCAAGGAAAGGGAATTGAACCCCTGTGGAAAGAAGTAGAACTATGGATGGCAAGGGTTACTGGTCCTAGTTTAGAATTGAGTTCTGCAGATGGATTCAGTTTTTGGCTTGCTGGTCCCATGTTCTTACTGGTGGTAGATCGTACTTGTGGACTTGGTTTTGTTGCTGAACAACTGTAAACTGCTCTATGAATGTCTGAGCCCCACATATTGGTGATTTGAATATGTTTTTTCGTCATTAAAATGTTGCTGATTGACTTTTTTTTTTTTTCACTCTAATTGGTATTTCCACCATGCGGTCTTGCTGGTTTGGTATTTCATTTTGCGGTTGAAATGGACATCAGGGATCCTGATATCATGGACAAATGAAGATAAGGTTGAAAGCTGGGATGTGTAACATTTCTGTAAATCTGTCGCTGTATACGTAGGGAACTGAGGTGACGCCCTTATTTCTGCAATTGTCACTATTCAGAATTTATTTTTGATGCAATCAATGCATCCGCTAAATTTACAAACGCCAATTTGAGGCAGACCCTAGAAGAATCTTCTATGAAGATGCTGAACCGTATCTTTGATTGAGCAAATATGTTTTCCCTTGCATAAAGTTTTCTGTCGTTCTGATTACAGGTGGTGCTATTCTCAGCTACTTGTATATACGAGACCCCCATCAACAACACAAACTCACCAAACCATCGCCACTATCACTGTCACTGCCATCACTCCACCGCCATCCCTACCACCACAGCCAACACTGCAACACTAGGCACATCACCATTACGAGATGTAGAATAATTCAGATTTGCGTGGTTACAATAGAGCAGGAGAGAGAAGACTGGAGAGCAGGGTGGAAAAGAAAGTGGGGGAGGAATACAGGGGTAAAACAGAGTTTTTCTTTTTTGGTGGGTAAGCTCATTTTTCTCATTGATAAGCAAAATGGAGTACATAAGTTCAGGGACAGAAGTCACAGAACCCTTAAACAAGTACAGCAAAATGGATGGAAAAGGAACCTATAACCATACCACTATACAAATGAACCTGACTAACATCAAAATTGGCAGTAAGGACTTTACAGTAGTCTAGAATCTCAAAACAGAGGATTTGTTCATGTTGTCGAGGACAGATTTGCGTGGATGCATTTTTCTGTGCTCCATTGTTGCTGGTTTCGTAAAAATACATGCCCAAAGTGCATCGATCAGTGTATCTTTTGTTAATGACAGCAGTTGCCTCCTCTCCTGGCTCCTGAGCAAAGCTGTTTGTAAAAGGTTTTGCCCAGAATAGGCTCTTGCTTAACCACTGGGCCAATGGCTCAGTAGCCACTGGGGAGGGGCTTAAGTCCCTCCTTGGGTTTTGCAGCGAAAAAAATTTAAGAATTGTGTCAAAGCACTTTCTTGGTCTAGTTGGGTCTGTATACTTACTAGTCCTTTATCACAGCCTTCTTAGGCTCCTCTTCCCCCTTAGATTAGAATAGAGTAGATTATACAAATGTATCGTTGCTAACAAAAAAAAAAAAAGAATAGTCTCTTGCTTAACGCCCAATGGCATGTACAAAAAGATTGAGACAAAATGGTTACTGAAAGCTAGAGAGAAACACCAAAATGCCCCTCCTAGTTGTCTTCCCAAATTCTTTCCCATATATATACTCTTCCATTAAAGATAACAAATACAAGTACTATTATCTATTTTCTTTATTTTCTTCTTCCGTGACAAATGAAAAATTAATTCTAATCTAAGAAAATTCAGGAAAAATGGTTTCTTAAAAGGTCAAAGTACACCAACACTCCGTTTCCTAAATGAACTTGAACTAGGTACATCCAACGCGCTGTTTCCTAACTTGATTAGAACTTTTCGTTATCCATCTACATCAAGGACCCAATCTTGAAACATGAGTCTCGAAAATATTACTACTAAGTAAAATAAAGGGCAAAAAATGGCTAATCTCAAGGAAATAGACACCCAAGAGATTTTTCTTTTCACCAAAAGACTCCTAAGCCTGAATGGAATGCTTTCCACAAAAGAGGTAACATTATTCAAAGTTACTTTTCTTAACAATAAATGATAAAACCCATCCCCCTCACGCCCTCGTTAAACAAGAAGATTATGATTAACCGATCAAAACCTTTAATCAGAATAAGCACTTCACAAAATCATCATCTGTTTTTCACCTTGTTACTATTTTCCCAGTTGGGTTTTCTAATTATTTGTTAATTTCCACACTGTACATTGTGGGGAGGAATTCAGTTGCCGGATTAAATTTTGATCGTTCCACGTATAAGACTGTAAGCCCAAATAAAATTGAGTGCAATGGGGGATTATTACAATGGAAGCAGTGACGATCAGTACTGTGATCGAGTTTGTGATGATGACGGAGAAGACTCTGTTGATGGGCTCCAAGACCCAGAACTTGAGACCGACTTTTCTTGTTGCAGCAAAGGTCCCTCCTGTATGGTATAAATTATATTTTCTCTTATTGTTTCCTTGGTTGATGATCAAGAATTGAGTCTTTAATCTTTTATAAATTTATTTATTTATGTTAGTCATGGGGTCCTACAAGTCCTCTACTTTATCCTATTATGTATCTTTATCTGTTTTGTTGGAGTGAAAAGAGGCTGGGGCTGAAGGCTTGGGTTTTGGAGATTAAGACACTAAGAATTTTATTTAAGATGATTTGTTATCGCTTATGATCATCTCGAGTTTTCTATGTCTTTACTGAACATAAGTTTTTAGTAAATCAGCGTGTGGAAGCGGTACTGTCGGTTACTGAAATTCTAATAGATTGCACATCAACTGAGGATGAAATATATAGCACCCAAGAATGTGAATTTCTACTCTTCTGGTTAGTCATGTATTCTGGGTTAGAAGAGGGGTTGTGCTTGTTAGCTTGATTGAGAGCTTAATTGGGAAAGGATTGAATTTGACCTCTGATACTAATATTCGTACTCCTGATTCCTGAACTTAAACCTGCTAAACAAACAGGAGTTTAAAGTTGCCGGCTTTTCTACATGCATCTGGCATTCACCGATTTGTGTATGTTATCTAGGTCGTTATTGTACTTTTTATAAAGAGAAGAGGAACATTGGCATGATTATGTTGCTTGCCTTTTGCTCATGCAGGTGATAAGAAAAGAGTCTCTTCTGGCTGCACAGGTTAGACACACTCATTAGATGTCTGCTTGGTTGATTTGAGTAACTCTAAATTAGAATAAAGTTTTGAGTTGTTGCTTATGTTGATTTATACAGAAAGAATACTTGCAAAGAGTAATGGATTTGCTGTCCTTAAAGGAGCACCATGCGCGGACCTTACTCATTTATTACCGTTGGGACGTTGACAGAGTTTTTAATGTGTTTGCAGACAGAGGTAAAGCATGGTTATATTCAGCAGCAGGTTTATCAGTTAGGAGCAGCGAGGATCTTAACTCCTCTCAGTCTTCAGACGAAGTAACCTGTCAAATCTGCTTCGAGGATGTCCATGCTAATGAGTCCACGATAATGGATTGTGGCCATTGTTTTTGCAACAACTGTGAGTCTCTTGCTTAATGGCTTTCTTTCTTTTTATATTACTTTTCTCGTGATGCCAGGATCCTGCATATGCATGCTTTCTATATGAAGATTAAAAACTTGTAATCAATTTCTTGGTCCTTGGAACAATATGTTAAAATGAAATACAAATTCTGTGTTTTCTAGTTAACGTCTGGACTGGTTGCTGAAAATTGAACCTCAGAAGCTGTTCAGCTGTTATGATATTCCAAATCATAACAGATTTAGAACTTCAATTTATTTGAGATACCTCAATGAATTAACACATATGAGAACTACAAGGAGTAGTTCCAGTCACTCATCCTCAGACCTGTTATTCTGTGAAATTAGAAATGAGGTCAAACAAACTTGAGTTTTAAATTAATTTTTAAGCTTGTTGATGAGAAACTATTGAACAATATGGTTATTTGTTAAATAACTAGTTTGCTGATGATGTTTGTCATGTTGAACTTCTCAGGCACTATAAAAATAGAGTTATTGGTGCACGTTAATGCAAATCAAGCATCTGATTTTCACTTGATTTTTTTTGAAATCTCTTTCACCAAATGTTAAATTTTGTAACCAGATCTTGTAAAAACAGCAAATTTAAAGGGTTAAGTAGACTGAAGTTTATTTCAATAGCAAAATAGCTTGAGTTAGATGCTCCAGTTAATTGTTTAGTAGATGTGTCTATTAAGTGCTGCTTCTGTGTTGTCGTTGTCGTTGCCGTTGCAGAATGTAAGCATTTTCTGTTCTTTTCTCTTGTTAAGGTTGGACAGAGCATTTTATTGTGAAGATAAATGAGGGTCAGAGTAGACGGATTACATGCATGGCCCACGAGTGCTATGCAATTTGTGATGAAGAAAATGTTAGAAATCTAGTTAGTGGAAGAGATCCTCATGTTGCAGAAAAGTTTGATCGGTTTCTTTTAGAGTCATATATTGAGGATAATAAGAAAGTAAAATGGTGCCCTAGCGTTCCTCATTGTGGAAATGCAATTCGTGTTGAGTGTGATGAATATTGTGAGGTTCAATGTGCTTGTGGTGTACAGTTCTGTTTCAGCTGCTCATCTGAAGCTCACTCGCCTTGTTCATGCCTGATGTGGAAGCTTTGGACGAAAAAGTGCCAGGATGAATCAGAGACGGTTAATTGGATTAAAGTGAATACAAAGTATTGCCCCAAATGTTATAAACCAGTGGAGAAGAATGGAGGATGCAACCTAGTACGTTGTGTGTGTGGACAACCATTTTGGTGCGTCTTCCTATTCTTCGTTCGTTTAAGATTCTGACTCAGCTCATACAGTTTGATAGGTCCAGTCACGACATTATTCATTTTGCACATGCATGTATTAGTATACCTGTACTTTGTGATCTGATCATCGTTAGCACTTACGCACAGTAAGGGCTTGGAGCTGCTTTCCACAAGTTCATTGGTAGTCTCAAGTTTCCTGCATTATGTTTTGTTAACAAGTTAACTTTATTGCCTGCATGCTCCTTGCTACTTCTGTCTTATCTGCTTTCTGTACCAACTTTAGTCATTCATTACCAAAATTTAGGAGCGAGGAACTCTAAAGCATGTCTTTGATCTTCATTTGTATATAAGAGAATGGTTTTTGCTTGCATCCTGGTACTGCATGTCTTTTCTGCTATCTTACTGCTTACCTGATATTTCAGTACATGGGGGATAACTTCTTTGTGTTTCTTTACAGCATGTCATTAATATTTTGTCTAGGATATCTTTAGCCAAAATTAAATGACATGATTTACCGTTTTGTCCTTATTTTCACAGTTGGCTTTGTGGTGGAGCAACTGGCGTAAGTCACACATGGAATAGCATTGAAGGTCATACTTGTGGCCGATATAAAGAAGACGAATTGGAGAATGCTGAGCGTGCGAAAAAGCAACTTTGGCGCTATTCTCACTATTATAATCAGTTCAAAGCCCACACAGACTCTTTGAAGCTTGAAGCTACTTTGCAGGACAGGTTACAACAAAAAATTGTGATCTTGGAAGCAAAGAACCTTGAATCGAGGGATTTTAGCTGGGTGACAGATGGATTCAATAGACTTTTCAGATCAAGGAGGATTCTCTCCTATTCTTATCCTTTTGCATATTACATGTTCGGTGATGACCTATTCAAGAATGCAATGACACAGAAGGAAAGGGAAATAAAACAGAACCTTTTCGAGGACCAGCAGCAGCAGCTTCAGGCTAACATTGAAAAACTTTCAATGGTTTTGGAACAGCCTTTTGCTGATTGGGAAGAAAGGGACGTCCTCAATACCAGACTGCAGATTATTGCTCTCTCCACTGTTACCGATAACCTCTGCAAGAAATTGTGAGTTTTACTAACTAGACTTGAAACTGAACTAAGGAACATCTGAAAATGAGAAATCGGACTAGTTTTATTTATAATAATTAAGTGAAAGGACTAGGACTTTATTGAAATTATTTTTGGCAAAATCTGAGGGTAGATATGGCTATTTGCAGGTACGATTGCATCGAGAGTGATTTATTGGCTCCTCTGGAGGAAGCAACTCACAGTATCGCTCCATATAGGTCTATGGGTGTGGAGAAAGCATCAGAATTTCCTTAAAGGTAATCTGTAACAAATGGTGTGATTCTCATTTTCCAACTGACTGGTTCTGGTGCATCGTTGCTTTTGACCTGGTGCTTTCTACAAAGTGCTAAAACGGTTTGTTTCTTTGCCACAGCTTAACTAGATGCAAGATGGATGAGCAATGGTACGAAGTTCTTGACTTGCAGCCTTTGGATTCTTCCCTTAAGGTGATTGGGCGAGAAGCTCTTGGTGAATGCTTTTCGCATAGTATTTCTAGATGCAGCTGACACAATAGAGAGGAGATGATACATTAACATTCTACTTGGTTTTTGCTCATAAGTACGGTCATTGATGACATTTTGGCTTAAAAAGGTTCATTTGCCAAGTGAATGTCACAAAGGTACTCGCTGAAAGGAAAGGAAAACCATGGCTGTATATGCTTTTTCGCTGCACATATCTCCTGACTTCGCCGCCTTTGTCAATTTTGATTTCTAGGTCCCTTCCTCGAATACTTCTGACCTCATTTTCCGCCTATGTGTGTAACCTTTCATGAAGCTTATAATCTGGATAAACAGTAAACCCTATATGCTGTATATATAATATATTTCCTTGGTCAGCTACTAACATATTGATCAATGGTCGTTCTTTCGAGGGTTTAACGGTGGATGTAGAAAGCTGTTACTCAGAAAACTGTTGCTGGGGAAGGGAAGGTGAAGAGGGATTCGATAGTAAACTTCTATTGTTTCAAGTTCCATCTGAATGCTGAAAATTAATTCATTCGAACTTTTTGAATTCAACATATTTGATAATTGAAATACCTAACCTTTTAATATATCAAGTACTGTTTAATTTGTGTACAAAATTTTAAGTAAAAAGTTTTTATTGAATTTTTTGAATCGATCACATATATTATACTTTTCACATATATATAATATACTCTCGTGCTCTCGCATAATGTATATAGTTGCTCTTCTTCTATTCGACGCACACGATATATGTGCAAACACGCACATACATATAAATACACACATTTAAGTACTATTTCTCAATTGTATAATTATTTTCTCCTATACAAAACACTTTTTTTTCTCTTCAAATATTCAAATAAATATAATTTTTTTAAAAGGTGAAAGTGTAATATATGTGGGATATTTCAATTCAGTGCTTTAATTCAATTAGTTATCAAATACATATCTTTATCAATTCAGCAACTTAATACTTTCAATGTTTAATTTTCGGATTTTTCAATTTAGATTTCATACTTCAATTTTATCTAATTTCTAGATTGTAGAATTCAGATCTCAAAATTCAATTTTATCGAACAGGATATATTGTAGATCTTCTGAAGTTAGAAATTGTTGTCCAGCAATGTGGTTTTTTATTGTTCATTGGCCACAAATATTCTTTTTATTTATAAACAAATTCCTTATTTCCTTTAGCTTTGCCACAATAGTACCACTTTGATTGGACATTAAAATAGGTTATAAGAAAGAGAGGGAACAAATCTCCCGGTAAAACCTCTAACATATAATGGGTTGAGTCAATTGGATTACTAATTGCAAAACAGTGGATGTTATCTCGACTCAGTATATAAATTAAAAATAGCGAAAACTTTGAGAAAATTACAAGATATTTTTTATGAAGGCAAATGAGGAAATTTTAAATAATTAATTTTTTAAATTTGTAAAGGAGTAGAAACAAAGGATATCTAAGTAGATGTTAACATTAGTAGGGAAGTATATTTGACATACGGATTTTCTCAAGGGATGTCCGCATATATGTTAGTATATTTAAGCCGCATTTAATTTACTATATGTAGGGTTGTATTCGAGTCGAGTCGAGGTAAAATAACTAAACTCGAGCTCATCGAGCTTTTAGAATTCGAGCTCGAGCTCGAGCTCGACATCAATTTATGTTACTCGAGCTCGAATTTAATTAAGTGTAATCAATACAAATCAAGCTCAATCGAGCTCAATCAAGCCTAATCAAGCTCACATAATAAAAATTAATATTTTATATATAATTTTAAATAAATGATATTATTGACATTTCATAATAATAAAAATAAAAATTATATTATAAAAAACTCGATTAGACTCGTCGAACTTTCGAATGCAAAATATTAAAACTCGAGCTCGACTCGAGACTTCTATCAAGCAACTCGAGCCGAGCTGCTGACCGAGTAGCTTGCGAGCTCGAGTTAAGCTACTCGGTTCAACAGCAGCCCTAACTATATGAATGCAAACATACTTTTAATGCACCTCCTGCATTTGAACATTCTCAAATTAGTTTCAATCTTTGCTAAAAATGTTGAACGCACCTAAACTTCTTGTTAACCAAATCTTTTGACATAATAATAACGCTTGTTCTAATTCTCCTTTCCTCCAACTTCTCTCTACCTCTTCTCATGGTATCCCTCCCATATATTTCGTTTTATTTGTTTTTCAATAAAATCTCTTCTAAATTTTCTTAATAAGAGTCATTTATTTCTCTTAGAAATTTCTAGTGAGATTTTCTATTTTTATTCTCATTTTGTTACTTGATCTCAAATCTGGTTGTTAGATCTGAAATTTTTTGAGATTTTGGGTCTTTTTCGATTCATCATCATTTATTGAAACCTGAATTCGTTGATTAATAGATTTGTTGATTAAAACATGTACAAATGTACAAAAGGTAGTTGTAGCAATTTATCTTATTAGAAGTCAGAAAACTTCTTATAGTTTTTAGATATGTTTGAGATCATTCACATCTACTGTATCTGTTATTAAATTGTAAATCTGTTATTATTTCAAGTGCGTTTTTAATCTGCCACTGAGATAGAGATGTAAATCAAATCGTATTGGACGATTTCCAACCATTCGTTAATAAAATTTGCTTTTTATAAAAAAAAAACCTTTAACATAATAATCATGGTAGCATTTTGAGAAATTTTAGATGCAGTATATTTTCAATTTTTCAAGAAATTGTGAGTTTTATTTTGCAGTTCATTTATTAGGTGCTTGATGTTAAATGAACTCTCTTTTTTTGTGGAATTGTTGCAATTCGAATGTGGATAATAATTTTAAAGGTTTAATAGTGAATCAACCTTTCTTTTTTGAGAAATGTTAATCACGCTCAATTTTTATTAATTATACTTTTACTATTCATTTTATCATATAGTCTAAATGAAAATCAGATGATAAAAATAATAGCAGTAGTGCGATTAAGTTTTCTCCTTTTTTTTGTGTACCTATCTAGTCCTATAACGCACCAAATAAAAAACTATTTAAAGGTGTAAGCGAATAAATTGCCAACAAGATGTAAACGACAATTTTCGTGAAGAAAGAACAGTTGACGAGGCATTTGGGGAAAGGTGGGTTGGATGCTCAATAATGTAAATTAAAGATTACGAACTCGAAACTTCTCACTGAAACTAAAAAAAAAATGTTGATGAGAGAGACAGTGTAAGTCATAAGTTTCGAATTTGAAACTTCCTACTTATACTAAAAAAATAAAAATCAAAAGTTGATGAGGCATTGATTTGGTAGCCAATGAGATTGAGGAAGGTCTCGTCTTAAAAAGAGTTTGGAACTTTTCACTTGCACTAAAAAAAAATTGACTCCTACTTTAAATTCACTATGTATAGCCAAATAAACAGTAAGAGTCTGAAGTATTAAGGAGGAAGGTCTTGCCTTTCAAGCCCTTCCGGGGTTGGAGCTGATGGTAGTAGTCCAGTTGGGTGAGTACCATCGTCACGGTTTCGACTCTTGGCACTACCGTGGCTGGTGATGCTTGGGGCGGGCCTATTCCAGGCCGAAGTGGAATTAGTTGGATCGTACGGTAACCAGTCCACGGGTCCAGATACCCACTGTCGACCAAAAAAAAAAAAAAAGGTCTTGCCTTTCAAATTTCACTATGTAAAGCCAAATAAATAGTGCAAGGCAATTTCACTATGTACGGACAAACAAATATAAAGAGTACTATAGTATTAAAGGACGGACCAGTCTAGTGAGAAGTAGTGACGAATTCGGTGTTTTCTTGGCCTGGCAAATCCGGTGAAAAGAGACGTATCAATCTAGTGAGAACTAGTAACGAATTCGGTGTTTTTTAGCCTGCCAAATCCGGCGAAAAAAGAGTTCCCCCATTCACGACTGGAAAGTGGAAAGTCGAGCCTTGATTAAATTAACCAGATTCCTTAGTGAGAACGAGCAACGAATTCGGTGTTTTTTAGCCTGCCAAATCCGGTGGAAAAAGAGTTCCCCCATTCACGCCGGTGAAAAAAGAGTTCCCCCATTCACGCCTGGAAGGTGGAAAGTCGAGCCTTTATTAAATAACCAGATTCCTTCCATAATTGAGTTCTTGCGGGTTCACAATGTTCAACAACAGCTTCTCGATCACCGTTTCCGACCAGTCTTCCGATGAGCACGCCGACAAAAAATTACGGGCTCGTGTCCGGAGGAAGTCCAAGAAATTTGGGTTTCGAGGCAAGACTGAATTCACTCGCCAAGTTGTGAGGCAGGTTCTCAAGTGGTGGCCTTTCCTGCTCTTCCTTTCTGCTGCAGCATTGCTCATTTTTGAAGTCTCCCGAATCTATGGAAAATCAACAAGTCCACCACCGCCTCAAACCGCCCAGGCCCAGAAGAAGCCGGACCACCCTCATTTTGAGAAGAAAGAGCAAGGGAACTTGAATCGTCTCGATCCCACCACCCGAGTCGTCGGTGGCGTTAGAGAACGTATGTAATTTATTTTTAGGCTTCTATGTGTTACTGACTAAAAGGTTCAGAATTTTGATGATTTTACTATGTCTCTGAAGGTTAATTTGGATAAAGTTATGAACTTTACCACATTAATTAGCTAATAGGCAACCATTGCCCATGGGCTGCTGCTGTTTCTGTTTTCAACTGAGGACCAATATTTAGATTTCCGTTTCTTGCTCCATTGTCGAGTTTCATAGTCGCACTTTCTTGCAAAAGCTGATTATGACTGGTTTTCTACTGATCATGTTTGAAGAACTGTGCAAGTTTAGATGGTATTTTGGATAACGATTTTATGGTATTGCTGTACCGCGTAGAGTTGAGCGTTGACAGGTTTGTCATTCATGATTTGGTTTTTTGTTGTATCAGGTTGTCTGAAGCTTCTGGCTCCTGAAGAACTTGAACGTTTGGTTTTTCCGCAACAAAGAGTATCTAATATTCCCATTAAAAAAGTGGTATACATCACAGAGACTGATAAAACTTATGGAGAAGGGAACTTCACAAAGTCTCAGCATGGTCTGGACGGCACAAGATTTAATTTATTCACTGGATACCAAACTCTGGACCAGAGAGATCAAAGCTTTAAGGTAATGAGCTGCATCTCGCAATTGTCATTGTTGTGGAGGAGAGTTTTAGATGGCAGTAGATAAATTCTTTAACAATATGCTTTAATATGCTCTGTGATTCTGGATCATTGGTTTGTGGTGGCTTCTGATGTATCTTGCTACTGTGTCTAGTTTTCCACTAATCCAAGTAAACATTTTAAGTTGGCTGTTGTAGGTGAACAAAACAGCAACAGTCCATTGTGGTTTCTACAGTGAGAAAGGGGGGTTTAAGATTTCTGAGGAAGATGAATTGTATATGCACGAGTGTGAAGTAGTGGTGTCTACCTGTGCATTTGGTGGCGGAGATGATCTATACCAACCAATAGGGATGTCAGAGCAGTCACTTCATAAGGTTACAATGTCAAATGCAAAGATCTCCTGAATGAGTTCTATGTTTTCTTTTGAAATGCTTACCATGTTCAAGGATACAGGTTTGTTATGTGGCTTTTTGGGATGAAATTACTCTTGCTGCACAAGAAGCTCAGGGTCAGAAAGTTGGTGAAAACCATTTTATTGGGAAGTGGCGGATTATAGTAGTTAAGGATCTACCTTTTCGAGACCAAAGGTTAAATGGCAAAATTCCCAAGGTAGGAAAAAGTTTGGTTCTCTTGTAGTTCTTTTCTGTTTCTTCATCATGCTCGCAAGTTTGGTTCTGGATCTTTGTTTGTATTCTCATTTTTGAAAAGAATAACAAGAGAGGACACAAAACTCTCGTCTTGCTTAAGAAACGATTGGCAATCTCACAGCCAAGAAATCTGGATTGCAAATTTAGTACATCCAATATGCAATGTTCTGCCAATGTTTATCATCTTTTCTTTTCAAATTGATATTTAAAATGGTCAGTCTTACTGTAGATTTGTTAAACAGTTTTCTTAGAATTCACTGATAATAAAACTCAATGAAGTTAATTCTTCTGTTCTTTGATTAGATGCTAGCCCATCGTCTCTTTCCAAACTCAAGATACTCAATTTGGGTGGATTCCAAGTCCCAGTTTAGGAGGGACCCTCTGGGAGTACTGGAAGCCCTTCTTTGGCGATCAAAGTCTGTACTTGCAATTTCAGAACATGGAGCACGCAGTAGTGTGTATGATGAGGCAAAGGCTGTTGTCAAGAAAAACAAAGCAACACCTGAAGAGGTTGAAGTACAATTAACTCAGTATCGCAAGGATGCACTACCAGAGGACAAGAGGTTCAATGGAAAGAAAGGTACGCTTACACCTCTGCTTCTTGTTATTATCCTATCCAGCAAAATGGTGGTGATGATTGTAAGTGACATAGTTCTGTTGCTTGATTCTCATAAGATTATAAATGATTGGCCAACAAAGATGTGCTTCTGTTAAATAGTTCGTGATACTGCTCAATTTTTTTTTTTTTGCAAATTAGATTCTCTTTCCTGCTGGTATTATTAAATCTACTAAAAAAGAAAGTATTTTTTATAGCTAATTTTTCCTCCTATATGAAGCCTCATGCTCCTTTAATCTTAGATTATTGCATTGGTGAAGTATATGATGGAACTGCAAAACGCTCATATGTAGCTCCATTCCATCTGTACAGCTCTAGCTGAGGCTTCCATCATTGTGAGGGAGCACACGACAACAACTAACCTCTTCATGTGTCTCTGGTTTAATGAGGTGGTTCGCTTCACTTCCCGTGATCAGCTAAGCTTTCCATATGTTCTCTGGCGGTTCAAAGCATTAAAGGACATTAATTTGTTCCCTGTATGCACTCGCAAAGATCTTGTTAATAGCATGGGCCATGTACGCAAGGCCAAGCTTTTGACAAGTTAATTTCTTAATTTCCATTCCTGCTTGGATTCTTCTTTTTCCATGTTTTGGATAGTCTTATTTGGCATCCACTAACTTCAGGAGGATGTTTTGGAGGAAGAGCTTGGGTAGAATCGTCTTTTCACCGGTACTTGTTACCTGTACATTGTATTTGCTGCAGTTCGTTTTTTGCTTCCTTGAACTATTGTAAAGTCTAATTTATATATTTATTTGGGAAAGGACCACAATACTACTTGTATCTCATTGACTAACAAGAATATAGAAGTGAGGAGGAACATCTGAAGGGTCTGATTTTGTAAATTTTTTGGGAATCCTCCAATTCTATAGTCTACTTGGCATTTTGGTGCAACAGTGTTGCAGTTGAAATAAAAGACTTTGGCATCCTTCTTTGCCTCAGAGATGTGGTAGTTTTAATTTTGTGCAACTTTCTCCGTTCCTTTGAGATTGTGTATCTGACTTGCTGTATGTTGTGCTTTTTATCCGAATCTAATGGCTGTTATTATATTGCAATTGGTTTTGACCTCCTTCTTTCCTCCACTTGTATAGATTGAAAGATGTTAGAGGATTAGGAAAGTAAGTGAAGGTGGATTAGGTGGCCAAAACACAGCAAAAACACTAAGAACGGATGTATTAAGGTAGCTCTAACACAAGCTAAACAAATGGCAATGCAACAAACTTTCAAGCTCTCCGCATAATTATGCTTCCAAGGGTCATATTCTGTATTGCGGTTTCTTTAGCTGTAATAGCAGTAGCACTCCTGGCATTGCTCTCTCCCTTACCGCATAGAAAGCCGGCCAAGGACTCCAGGCCCTGGTTGGCCTTATCTCTGTACATTCAACAGCCCAAAATCGGTGGCTCAAATTTGCACTCAGTGGCCCCGTCAGATGCCGGAGCCCTGGTCTTTCATCGCACCCTCACAGAGGGACCTGAGAACACTTCCAGGGTGGTTGGAAAAGCTCAAGGCTTCATAATTCCCATTGAACATTTCGCCCATTCAGCGTTCAACATTATTTACCTCACGTTCAATTCCCACAAGCACTCTGGCAGCCTTAGCATTCAGGCCAAGGAGTTAGCCAACAAGGAGAAAAAGGAGCTGATGGTTGTTGGTGGAACAGGCTCTTTTGCTTTTGCTCGAGGCCTCGCCATTTTTGCACAAACAGATAAGCAGGGATCATCTCATTCAGACGCAACTTATCATGTAAAACTGCACTTGAAATTCCCTAATCGGTCCCAGATCATACCTGGATGATGAAACGCTACTTCTTGTTGGGACTTCATTTTGTTCTTGATTTCTTGGATTGTAGCTCATCCTATATTGCTGCGGAAAATTTAATCATATACATGAAGGAGATTCTCCATCATCTGTCGCTGACTTTAACACACACCGTATCTTGAGCTGAAGTGTACCCCAAGTCAGCAGGCATGCGTCACAGTTTAATCAAAGGGAACGAGATTTGCTGCTTGCCTGATACTTGCACCTAAGATCAATGATGCAGTGAAAAGGATCCAATGTAAAACTACAATCTGAACACTTCAATATACAAAATTTGATGCTTTTTTTTTTTTTTTCCTGTCCTCTACATTATCATGAGCTGAGAAGATTTTTCAACACAGACCTGAGAAGGTTGAATTAATAATTGCAAAAAAGTTATGGAATAAGTTGACAGAAAAGGCTCTTTTTTGTTCGGTAGAGGACAGAAAGTAGTTCAAGCATATTGTAATAGCACTCCCAGGCACCCCATTACCTATCAAGGCGGTACTTAACGAAGCATTTACGGTATGGTGCGCCAAAAATACAAAGAAATGTGTTAATGAATGTCAATGATGATCAACAGAAAGCTCTTTACTTGTAGATTAAACAGATGATTTCATAAATATGCTTTTCAATTACGCTTTTACATCGTATATATCTCATCACAAAAAATAATATTACGGTGAGTAATATAAAAATGTTTTTCAAATAATTTTCAGCTCAAATGGACTAACTTTTTTTTTTTTTTGCAGCAACCATGGAAGATCTCAAAATAGTAAGAAGTTTGCTTTCAAGGAGAAAAAAAAGGCAAGACTATGTATAGCATTCCATAAAAAAGAAAAAGTTGAAAAACAACCCTTCACCGTAATCTACATCTTATAGATTTAAGCCATCAAAAGGGGTAAGTGAAGAATAACTTTTGATCTTCTTCATTTAAAAAAAATAGTAAAAAAATAAAAATTATGTAACTCTCACGATCTCACCTCAATATGCAAAACAAATTTTATCGTCTCTAATTTTCTAGTTACTTATTATCCGTTTTGTTCTTGGTTTCTCAGAGAACTAAAATACTACAAAATGGTTTGAGGAAAATCGTTTTTGTCGACTCTAAATTGCATTTCTAAAATGATATGTTGAAAGAAAAAAAACCAAGTAAAAATGGAAAAGAAAACAAATAGAGAAGCTAAGGAGCCGACGTCTAAATGGCCCGACCCGCTTTTCTGGTTACGGTTGTGCACACAATACACGCAGCAAATGGCGTAACGACTAGTCCACGTACCGTTTGGCGCGTGCTCCAAGTCCAAATAACTGATGAACGACGTCGTTGTACATTTTCCTTAATCCACTACTGCTCCTATCTATTTCCTCGTCTCTTTCATCCAGTTTTTTCCACCTGTGAGCTGAGACAATTGTGCGAAGCTTGAGGATTTACGCTAACAGAAGAACGAAACTCTGCCGGAATCATGGCGAAATCGAGCGCCGACGATGAGGAGCTCCGGAGAGCATGCGAAGCTGCCATCGAAGGCACCAAGCAGAAGGTCGTAATGTCGATCCGAGTCGCCAAAAGCCGCGGGATCTGGGGCAAATCTGCCAAATTAGGCCGCGGTCAGATGGCTAAACCTAGGGTTCTCGCCATCTCCAGTACGTCCACATTTTCCTTAATCACTTTCCCGCGTTTTCACTTTCCACTTTCCTTAAGTTCAATTTCGGAGCTAGCTGGTTTAATTTTCATTTTTAATTTTTGAAGCAAATGAAATCACCTTTGTGGAAGTTGGGGTATTAATTTGATGCGTGCTTGGTATAATTCATGTAAGGAACAAGTCAATAGGCTGTGAAGGATTCTCTGATTGTGATGTCGTAAGTTTAGGTTAGAGTTTAGATGGTTGTTGTAAGTTAGCTCATGAATTGTTAAGGAATAATGATATGCAGTTTGATAACTTTAACCTGCTGCGTAGCATGTCTTCGGAGCTTCGGGTTCGAGAAGCTATCCATTTTAGTGCTTGACTCCAAATTTTGTCCCATACCAAGCCCCCAGTTTAGAGGTGGGATTACATGCTCCAGGGCAGAAATGTGTCGAGTGGCTTAACCAATAATTGTGACTTTGGTGAAACTGAAGTGTCTCGATTTAAAATGCTTCTATTAGTGTGTACTACAATGACGGTATATAGGGTTTTTGTATTAATAAAGGTCACTTTTCACTCATGGCATAAAGTGCTTACAGATTATTACCTCGAAATGAATGCTCTGAGACGTGCAGCCGCTAGAACTTCTGAATGCTCTCAAGTGTTTACCTAGAACTTCTGAATTAGCATGAATTTGTCAGGTGATTGATTAGCGTAAAAGGATTAGTCATTCTTTCTTTTCACAAGAAATATCCCTACAATCTATCATAACTCGCACACATGCCAAAGATGACTTGGTCAGCAAAGTATTTTTACAAATTTAATAACTCTAGGTTTGGTAAACCTAGTGACACTGGATTCTTGAAGACAGAGGGAAGTTAAGGAATCATAGATGAAACCTTGGCCATTGGAAAAATTGGCCTTCAATAGGTAAGTCCTAGTGGGTACAATAGTATCACAATGAAAACAAGATAAAACATGTGAAAATATCTCATAAGCAACAGATTGAGGAATGCAGAGTTGGTGGTGTTTTACTGCCACTCATTCTTGTTTGTGTTACTGCATTACGTGTCAAAGTTTCCGTTACTCGGTTAGTGTTTGTGCACCGTCAACCAAAAAATCATCACCTTATCTCCTTTAGATTATGCTATCCCTAATCTTTGTCCGTAGTCTTTGTGACTCGGAAAAGACATATCAAGACGGAATGAAAATTGGTTGACCCTGTTCATATGAACGCTTGAAACTTCAATATCCCCCCATTCATTTACAAGTCCGTTTATAACTAATTCAAAAATTTAGCTTACTTCATGTGTTTTCTGCAGCCAAGGCAAAAGGCCAGCGGACTAAAGCATTTTTACGTGTCCTAAAGTATTCCACTGGAGGAGTTCTCGAGGTAATCTTCCACACTCTTTTTTTCATTTGCTGCTTCATACCTGGCTTCTTCTCTCTTTGGAAAAAAATTTTTTTTGTTTGGGGTGGGGGGAGAGGGGTGCAGGCCTCATACACATCAAGCTATTCAAAAGTGTGGTCAATGGGTTCCATTCCACTGTGCTAAAAATTAATAAAGTCTTCATACTGATTTCTGCCACTGACAATCTGAGGTTGCTTGAAACATGTGAACTTGCCATGTCTTTAGAGACTACCGTTAGTAATATGTTACAAATGCTCCAAGTGTGTATTGTTGTTTTGTTATATTCTAGCAACTGGGACAAGAGAGGAAAAAACTCAATTATGTGCTTTGGATGCCACCAATTGCCAGCTCATATGACAGTTTGTGGCCTTACATTAAGTTGTGAAATAGGTAAAAGAGAGCCATGGTCAAAGAGAGTCATTTTTCTGGAACTCATGGCAGCAGTCAAAAAAACGGGTGGGTCCCGTATTTTACGAATAGAGAGGAATGACGTGTAGAAGATAGAAAGACAGTTTCTATGACAAAGTGCATGTATGTAATTTTACTTTAAGCTGATAAAAGCAATTTTTTCTGCTCCTGTAGCCTGCAAAATTGTACAAGCTGAAGCATCTTTCGAAGGTTGAGGTTGTAACAAATGACCCCAGTGGATGCACATTTATGCTGGTATTGATCGAAACACATCTAGTGGGAAAATTTTTTTATTTTTGTTATTGCCCAAATCCCGCGCTAAAAAAAGTTTCCGACTTTATTTTGGATTGATCGCATTCCTGCAGGGCTTTGATAACCTTAGGAGTCAGAGTGTTTCTCCACCTCAGTGGACCTTGCGCAATGTTGATGATAGGTACCTTAGGAGTCCTCAGCCCAAAAATACCTTTTTAGGTTTTGAAGTATTGTAACAATTATCTCCATTTTGTCTCAAGTCTTTGATATACTATTATGCAGGAATCGCCTACTGATGTGCATTTTAAACATCTGCAAAGATGTATTAGGTCGTTTTCCCAAAGTTGTTGGCATAGATGTTGTGGAGATGGCTCTTTGGGCTAAGGTATTTTCTCCCTGTAGCTCAGGAATAACTCGTTCTTTATTTATTTGGTTTTATTTTTCCTTCTATAATTTATCTTGTACTGGTTGAGTAAATATTTTCTTTTGTCCTGAAACCTTTCAGCTATTCATCATTATTGTTTGCTGTAAGATGCTGCGAACTTTATGAATTTATCTATCTGAGAAGGCATTGTAGAAGTTCTTGACTTTATTTGCAGATGTGACTGTAATTGAACTCTTTTTACTTGGTCCGCTTCCTTTAAGATTACCAATCAACTGGGTTCTGCATGTTGGCATTTATGAAACACAGCAACAATTATTATGTGAAGTTAGTTTTCTACATGAATTATGACTTTAAAATGAAATCTCTGTCCTGATTGGATATTTGTATTGAGCAATATGGGAAGAGGACTGTGTTTAAGCTTCAGGTAGATTCTTTTATGTCAATTTTAATTTTTTTTGGCTGAATAGGTTAGATGCTTATTAACTTTCGTATATGGTGATGAGTAACCTATTATCTTCAAATGCTTTTGACTATTTGAACTTGAACAGGAAAATACTCCCACTATTCCTAAACAACTAGGGAATCAACAAGATGGTCCGGTTGAAGTTGCGGTGGCTGAAGGTGACATGAAAGTGACAGTTGAAAAAGAACTTGTTTCACAAGCAGAGGAAGAGGATATGGAGGCCCTTTTAGGCACGTACGTATGTTTATTTTCTTTCACGGATATTGACTTTATGGTGTATAAATCTGTGTTTATGTGCCCGTATATGCCTAATTCATGTGAAACATAATGCGAATTGCATTGTAGAAATCTCCTTTCATTTTTACACATGTAGCAGTAAAAAGAAAAAAGATACACAAGATAATAGATTTTATTGGTCAGTTATAGATTGACTTGTAGATCTCTGGGCAATGGATACTTGGAACTTTTCTTGCTTGTAATGTTGTTTTCTGTGCACTTATTCTCCTTTGTAACTATTCTTAGCTTGATTCTGTGCATCTTTGCTCTATTTTTGGGCTGAACTTCAACATGAGAAACAAGCTACCTGAGAAGCCAGTATGCACTGGGTCTTGAGAGCATTCTTTTGTACCATTTTAGTCTAATGATGCTAATAGTTAGACTGATCATGTCATTTGCAGCTATGTCATGGGTATTGGTGAAGCTGAAGCATTTTCTGAGCGATTAAAGCGAGAACTTCAAGCTTTGGAAGCAGCAAATGTGCATGCTATTTTGG